AACTGACCAACTGTACCGTGCAACTGACCAACTGTACCCTGCAACTGACCAACTGTACCCTGCAACTGACCAACTGTACCCTGCAACTGACCAACTGTACCCTGCAACTGACCAACTGTACCCTGCAACTGACCAACTGTACCCTGCAACTGACCAACTGTACCCTGCAACTGACCAACTGTACCCTGCAACTGACCAACTGTACCCTGTGAATGCCCAACTGTACCCTTTGAATGCCCAACTGTACCCTGCAACTGACCAACTGTACCCTGCAACTGACCAACTGTACCCTTTGAATGCCCAACTGTACCGTGCAACTGACCAACTGTACCCTGCAACTGACTATCTGTACCCTGTACTGACCAGACCGAATCAGCCCTGTAATTACAAGTAAACCAGTTCATAAACCAAATCGATACACCGGCCGCGCTAAATGTAACGGCGGAATCGAAAATTGAGGAGGGGAGGGGAGGACCAATTCTGCTGACACTGATTTCAATAAAGGCAACAGACTTATTGATTTCAACACAGGAAAGAACGCTAGAACAATCTATCGACAGTTTACAATAATAGGGTGGTTTTTTTTTCGGTTGTTGTTTTTTCGGCTAAACTTCAATTACCGAGAGATAAAGTGAAATTTTTTATCAGGAAACGTATTTGTATGATTTCAAGGAAATTGTCGATTTATACTAAATTGTATAGACACCCGTTAAATACTCGCAGGGACGTATGATGTAATACGATGTTCGCTGCTTGGGTAGGGAGATAGCAACAAATCTAGTTGCACACATACACATATAATTTAGATACTGTTCATAACTTCGGGGTATTAAGTTAATTACAGATGACGTCTATCCTAATTGGCAGCTTAAGATTTTTAAAAATTCGCTAAAGCCAAAATATTCTTTGTTCCGTGTCATTTTGGATTGTAGTCCGACATTTAGCGTGCATCTCTCCAGTGTGTGATGTATCATTATGGCTAACGGAAATATCCGATTACTTATTTTATTTTTAGAAAGCAGTAGACAACTATGATTGGACCTAACACCCATTAGGCTGCAGGCTACTTCAATCGTAATCTAACATTTATAAAAGTACGGGCTAATTTGATTTCAAAGGTGAACTAATGAATCTGCTAGCTAATTTGATTGGGTCTAACACCTAAAAATGTGTTGGGTGCTTTGATTAGATCTAACACCTAACAATCTGCTGGGTGCTTTGATTAGATCTAGCACCTAAAAATCTGTTTGATTGGTTCACAAATCTAAAAAGTCAGTTTTTATAGTGACGAAGAAAACAAGTACCCATAAAGTTGTAGGCTACTTTAGAAAACCCATCCAGATCTATCAAGCTGTAGGCTACCTTGATTAAAACCTAGCAAGCTGTAGGCTACCATGGTTGAAAACCTACAAAGCTGTAGGCTACCTTGACTGAAAACCTACAAAGCTGTAGGCTACCTTGATTGAAAACCTAGTTTAAAACCTACAAAGCTGTAGGCTACCTTGATTGAAAACCTAGTTTAAAACCTACAAAGCTGTAGGCTACCTTGATTGAAAACCTAGTTTAAAACCTACAAAGCTGTAGGCTACCTTGATTTAAAACCTTGATTAAAACCTACAAAGCTGTAGACTACCTTGATTAAAACCTTGATTAAAACCTACAAAGCTGTAGGCTACCTTGATTGAAAACCTTGATTAAAACCTACAAAGCTGTAGGCTACCTTGATTGAAAACCTTGATTAAAACCTACAAAGCTGTAGGCTACCTTGATTGAAAACCTTGATTAAAACCTACAAAGCTGTAGGCTACCTTGATTGAAAACCTTGATTAAAACCTACAAAGCTGTAGGCTACCTTGATTGAAAACCTTGATTAAAACCTACAAAGCTGTAGGCTACCTTGATTGAAAACCTTGATTAAAACCTACAAAGCTGTAGGCTACCTTGATTGAAAACCTTGATTAAAACCTACAAAGCTGTAGGCTACCTTGATTGAAAACCTTGATTAAAACCTACAAAGGTGTAGGCTACCTTGATTGAAAACCTATCAAGTTGTAGACTACCTTGATTGAAATCGTTAAGTCCATGCCACTAACAGGTGAAGGGCTTGTCTGCCGCTTGGAGCACGGACAGCTGTGTCAATCAATGTCAGACTAAACACGCCCTGTCCCCATCGTCTGCCAGCTCTTCTCCCTCGTCTCTCCCAACCCGTGACGTCATAGAGGACCTAAACCTGAGTCTCTCACAGAGAGGACCTAAACCTGAGTCTCTCACAGAGAGGACCTAAACCTGAGTCTCACATAGAGAGGACCTAAACCTGTCTCTCTCAAAGAGGACCTAAACCTGAGTCTCTCTTACCGTGAGGACCTAAACCTGAGTCTCACACAGAGAGGACCTAAACCTGTCTCTCTCAAAGAGGACCTAAACCTGAGTCTCTCTTACCGTGATGACCTAAACCTGAGTCACTCACAGAGAGGACCTAAACCTGAGTCTCTCACAGAGAGGACCTAAACCTGAGTCTCTCACAGAGATGACCTAAACCTGTCTCTCTCACAGAGAGGACCTAAACCTGAGTCTCTCTCACAGAGAGGACCTAAACCTGAGTCTCTCTCACAGAGAGGACCTAAACCTGAGTCTCTCTTACCGTGAGGACCTAAACCTGAGTCTCTCACAGAGAGGACCTAAACCTGAGTCTCACACAGAGAGGACCTAAACCTGAGTCTCTCACAGAGAGGACCTAAACCTGAGTCTCTCTTACCGTGAGGACCTAAACCTGAGTCTCTCACAGAGAGGACCTAAACCTGAGTCTCTCTCACAGAGAGGACCTAAACCTGAGTCTCTCTCACAGAGAGGACCTAAACCTGAGTCTCTCTTACCGTGAGGACCTAAACCTGAGTCTCTCATGGAGGACCTAAAGCTGAGTCTCTCACAGAGAGGACCTAAACCTGAGTCTCTCCCAGAGAGGACCTAAACCTGAGTCTCTCACAGAGAGGACCTAAACCTGAGTCTCTCCCAGTGAGGACCTAAACCTGAGTCTCTCACAGAGAGGACCTAAACCTGAGTCTCTCATGGAGGACCTAAACCTGAGTCTCACATAGAGAGGACCTAAACCTGAGTCTCTCACAGAGAGGTCCTAAACCTGAATCTCTCATAGAGGACCTAAACCCGAGTCTCTCACAGAGAGGTCCTAAACCTGAGTCTCTCACAGAGTCTCTCACAGAGAGGACCTAAACCTGTCTCTCTCAGAGAGGACCTAAACCTGAGTCTCACATAGAGAGGACCTAAACCTGAGTCTCTCTCACAGAGAGGACCTAAACCTGAGTCTCTCTCACAGAGAGGACCTGAGTCTCTCACAGTGAGGACCTAAACCTGTCTCTCTCAGAGAGGACCTAAACCTGAGTCTCACATAGAGAGGACCTAAACCTGAGTCTCTCTCACAGAGAGGACCTAAACCTGAGTCTCTCTCACAGAGAGGACCTAAACCTGAGTCTCTCACAGAGAGGACCTAAACCTGTGTCTCTCACAGAGAGGACCTAAACCTGTGTCTCTCACAGAGAGGACCTAAACCTGTGTCTCTCACAGAGAGGACCTAAACCTGTGTCTCTCACAGAGAGGACCTAAACCTGAGTCTCTCACAGATAGGACCTAAACCTGTGTCTCTCACAGAGAGGACCTAAACCTGAGTCTCACACAGAGAGGACCTAAACATGAGTCTCTCACAGAGAGGACCTAAACCTGAGTCTCACAGAGAGGACATAAAACTTGAGTCTCTCACAGAGAGGACCTAAACCTGAGTCTCTCACACAGAGGACCTAAACCTGAGTCTCTCACAGAGAGGACCTAAACCTGAGTCTCTCTTACCGTGAGGACCTAAACCTGAGTCTCTTACAGAGAGGACCTAAACATTAAACCTATACTTAAAGGACCCTAAAATAACAAGTCGCTACCATTTCTTGCTTGCTGGTGAAACGGTTCCTCTACTCAGAGTTGGAGGGGTTAGAGTGGCTTTAGATCTGGAGAAGTTGTTCAGTTAGTGGCGAGAGTATGGGACAAAACTACTTGTTGTGAGACTGTTGTATAGCGTCTGAGTAATAAACGATTTAGAGTGGTTCAGTCGGCAGTCAGTACCGCACCAAATGTACTAAACAAAGCTCAGTGGTTTAGACAGCAGTCAGTACCGCACCAAATGTACTAAACAAAACAGTGGTTTAGATGGCAGTTAGTACCGCACCAAATGTACTAAACAGAGCTCAGTGGTTTAGACGGCAGTCAGTACCGCATCAAATATACTAAAAGCTCACTAGTTTGATAGAATCAGATTAAATTGGCCATTCTTACAATTAAATAAAATTGTGTTTTGTTCTATGATTTTGTGTGAAATGTGTACTATTTAGTTTTTAACCAAAATGTATGCTCTATGTTTGGTGTGCCAACTTTTGTCAACAGTCATATGAATGTTTAAATGTTACTGACAAAAGTAAAAGCCACTGTTTGGTCTAACATAAACAATATATAATATTTTTTTTAAAACTTTTACGAATACGTTTTTTTTTTTGGCCAGACTTTTTAAATTTTGATCTGATATGAACAAAATAAGACAAATGAAACTAATTAAGTAAATCTCCCCTTTAGACCTAGCGATCCATTGAGCAGATAAAGTGGAGTTCGACTTCATATTTCTTCACCTCGGCAAATGTAGGGATAATGTGGTCAGCACTTTGCCCAGCCGCCTTTACTTTCCCCAACTTAAGTCAGGTATCCGTCAGAACTGGATGGACTCAGGGACGTCCTACAGTCACAAGTCCGAACCGAGATCCGAACTCGAGACGTTCGGGCTAGCAGTCATAGACATTTGACCACTCCATCCCATAGACACAAGTTAGGGCCAGTTTTTTTTTTTTAACTGGTATAAACAAAGTATCAACAATGCTTAAACATTCAAAAAAATTGGCCAGACTTTTAAAATTTTGATCTGGCACAAACATCACGTGACAAATATTTACCTTCGTACATTCTTGTTTTGTCGCCGGACCTTTCGGGTCATTACTTTCCCCCGCGTCCGGATGCCGGATTGAACCGGTGCCGGTACTGCCGTTCCCACCGGCATTGTGGCAGTTGTTAGTACCGTGTGTCGAGGACGAATGGGCGGGGTGATTATCAATGGTCTCGACCCGGTCGGACGGCAGCATGATTACAGGACTGTCAAGAACGGAGGTCCCAGGGGTACGCCATCACTTGCTGTCAGCTCTCTGGAATTAGAAAGTTTTGACTTAAGAAGTGGGGCTGGCTTTTTGGTGTTGTGTGGGATGTGGTCGCTGTGATGCTGCTGGTTGCGGTTGCAGTGGTGTACTGTGCTTGGTTGTGGTTGTGATTGAATTTTATTGGTGGATGTCGTTGTCGTAGCAACAGTGTTTCTGTGCTTGTCATAGCAACAGTGTTTCTGTGGTTGGTTGTTGTTGCATAGCAACAGTGTTTCTGTTGTTGTCATAGCAACAGTGTTTCTGTGCTTGTCATAGCAACAGTGTTTCTGTGGTTGGTTGTGGTTGTCATAGCAACAGAGTTTCTGTGTTTGGTTGTGGTTGTCATAGCAACAGTGTTTCTATGTGGTTGTCATAGCAACAGTGTTCCTGTGGTTTGGTTGTGGTTGTCATAGTAACGGTGTTTCTGTGATTGATTGTGGTTGCATAGCAACAGTGTTTCTGTGGTTGTCATAGCAACAGTGTTTCCCATTTCCTTTCAAACATATTTCTTGGTTTGGGGCTAGGGCGGGGGAACTCCCTCCCTCGGACAAAAATAGAAAAAAATAAATTATGTAGGAAATTTAAATATATACTTTAACCTGTGTAAAAAAATGTCTGAAAGAAACGCTGGTGTTTCTGTGATAGTTTTTCTGTAAATGTGTGTGTTTTCAACATAACTGTTAAATGTTGTGTTCGTGTTCCCAGCAGATTTGTGTCGGGTTGTCAGGTAATTTGGTCAACATGCGGTCAAACTATGTTAAGAATAGATGATGTTGTCTACCGTTTTTATCTACTGGCTAGAGTAATGCATTCTCATCGCAAGAGTTTGGGTCATTAGCATGTCCCTTCTCTGACTCTCTTGCTCTCTTTCTGTCTGTCTGTCTGTCTGTCTGTCTGTCTGTCTCTCTCTCTCTCTCTCTCTCTCTCTCTCTCTATATATATATATATATATATATATATATATATATATATATATATATATATATATATATATATATATATATATATATATATAAATGTGTGTTTGTCTGTGTGTTTGTCTGTGTTTGTGTGTATGTGTGTGTATGCGTGTGTGCTTTCAAGTTAGTATGGGTAGGTAGCGAAAGAAAGAAATAGTTCTTAACGGTTCATCTATTTTTTCTCCCTACTGCTACAGCCGTGAGGTTGGCAGACTACAGCTGACCCCGGCTATTGTGTTGACGTAATCAGGTTTGGGCGGGAAAGAACGGGGAGCAGACGAGTGCTGGAAGGGATTGGGGTCAGTTTTATATAGCGCTGGCAGCACACGATAGGTCAGATTGACAAAACAATACATAGTATATCATTAAAAAAAATTTAGCACAAAAAACTAAAGCAAGAATAGAAAATTTAATTATTTTTTTTTAAGTCGAGGTAATAAAGTAAATTTAACTAGATCCAACTCGAGTAATAAAAAAAACTATAAAGGGCTTGATACTTTTTTACATTGATTGCTCTCCCTTATATTTTACTCTGCAAGTTCGTTACCATGGTTACTTGCTTGAATATTTTATCACTAGGGGCCTATTTAATTATTTTCCAATACTGAGTAGTTGTTTTTAAATCCATCGTATGCGTATGAGGTGTGTATGGTATGTCTAATTACAGTTTCAGTTTCACTGACCTGTGAGTACATACAGAAACTACAAAGTGCAACACAGCAGGGGACACCACTCTCACCAATTTATCAAACCCTGTAATTGTAATTAACACGGTCGCCAATCATCACAACAAACAACTGCCAATCCACTAATTCTTAACACTTATAATCAACCAACTGGAAAACGCAGCCGTATGCAATCAATAGTAGCATGACACGTGATGCAATCAACGTGACGGTGTAATTAGAGCCTTTAATTAGTCAAGATGCACTCCGCAATGAACATGAGCAGTGCACGAGCGCACGTGTATGTAAAATGTCGGCCATATCAAAGCGCGAATCTCCAGCATTCCATTATTGGAAATCGTTAACAACTGGATGAGTTTTGACGGAAATTCTAGAAGGTTCTAAAAGCGCATCCTGGTACAGAGGGGGGGGGGCAGGAAAGGGGGGTGGGAGTCAGGAAAGCAGCGTAACAGACAACGAAACAAATAAAATGTCAAGATGATTCATGGCTGACCTTTTTTACCCTGTCTTTAGTTTACTCGTATTTTCCACGCTAGTGATTTGAGGGCAGGCGTGTTAAAAAAATTAATAATACTTCTACTACAACAACAATAACTACTGCTACTAATACTACTGCTACTACTACTACCTCTACTACTACTACTACTACTACTACTACTACTACTACTACAACAATAACTACTACTACTACTACAGCAACAACAATAACTACTACTACTACTACTACTACTACTACTACTACTACTACTACTACTACTACTACTACTATCACTACTACTAATAATAATAATAACATTGATAATTATGAACATTAATAATCATTATCATCTTTATCGTAAGTTCAATCGTAATCAAGAACTCTATTGAATACATTTAATATTACAATAATTATAATAATCATAATCTTTATCATAACTTTAATCGTAATAAAGAACACTATTAAATAATTAATTTTTGTGTTTTTATTCCTCAACTGTCCCCTAAATCGTATTTTAAGCCTATCTTTAAGTCAACATTTTAAATGTCGCTCTTTGATTTTTCCACCAAGATGGTTCATAAAGTTAGAAGTTTCTAGACTTAAAATATTGGAATCGATAAAGATTGATATATCATGTACTTTAATAGTTATTTTTGTGCGCCGTATTCTGAAATTTCGATTTGAAATAGTAGCCGTGTTCTAAAAATAAGTCTGGGTCATATTCCTCGCTGAAGTTAACATGAGCTTTAAAGATCGAAGTACTTTCACCAGATTATCCTATTGTGTGATTAGAACACGTAAACAGATCTGGTTTGTTTTTTATAAAAGAAAAAGTAAGATTGAAGAATATAGTGTCTACGGTAAGACTTCTGCTTGTAAGATTGGAGAAAATAGTGTCTACGGTAAGACTTCTGCTTGTAAGATTGGAGAAAATAGTGTCTACGGTAAGACTTCTGCTTGTAAGATTGGAGAAAATAGTGTCTACGGTAAGACTTCTGCTTGTAAGATTGAAGAAAATAGTGTCTACGGTAAGACTTCTGCTTGTAAGATTGGAGAAAATAGTGTCTACGGTAAGACTTCTGCTTGTAAGATTGGAGAAAATAGTGTCTACGGTAAGACTTCTGCTTGTAAGATTGAAGAAAATAGTGTCTACGGTAAGACTTCTGCTTGTAAGATTGGAGAAAATAGTGTCTACGGTAAGACTTCTGCTTGTAAGATTGGAGAAAATAGTGTCTACGGTAAGACTTCTGCTTGTAAGATTGGAGAAAATAGTGTCTACGGTAAGACTTCTGCTTGTAAGATTGAAGAAAATAGTGTCTACGGTAAGACTTCTGCTTGTAAGATTGGAGAAAATAGTGTCTACGGTAAGACTTCTGCTTGTAAGATTGGAGAAAATAGTGTCTACGGTAAGACTTCTGCTTGTAAGATTGGAGAAAATAGTGTCTACGGTAAGACTTCTGCTTGTAAGATTGAAGAAAATAGTGTCTACGGTAAGACTTCTGCTTGTAAGATTGAAGAAAATAGTGTCTACGGTAAGACTTCTGCTTGTAAGATTGAAGAAAATAGTGTCTACGATAGGACGTCTGGTTGTAAGGTTGGAGAAAAAAATGTTAACAATATCGTTTAGTTGTAAGATTGAAGAAAATAGTTTGTACAAAAGACGTGTTGGTTGTAAGATTGAAGAAAATAGTTTCTACAATAAGACCTTTGGTTGTAAGATTGAAGAAAAAAGTTCACGATAAGAATTCTGGGCTACAACTCAATCGATCTGTGTGGTATTTTTTTTCCAGAACGTTGCCTAGATGTGGCTTGAGTGGTACTAGGATGATGTGGACAGGATAATATCAGGGAAACCACATATTGTCTTGATGTGAACAGGATAATATCAGGAAAACCACATATAGTCTAGATGTGGACAGGATAATATCAGGGAAACCACATATTGTCTTGATGTGGACAGGATAATATCAGGGAAACCACATATTGTCTAGATGTGGACATCGACAGAATAATATCAGGGAAACCACATATTGTGTAGATGTGAACTGGACAATATCAAGGAAACCACATATTGTCTTGATGTGGACATCGACAGGACAATATCAGGGAAACCACATATTGTGTAGATGTGAACTGGACAATATCAAGGAAACCACATATTGTCTTGATGTGGACATCGACAGGACAATATCAGGGAAACCACATATTGTGTAGATGTGAACTGGACAATATCAAGGAAACCACATATTGTCTTGATGTGGACAGGGAAACCACATGTGGGTCATGGCTCAAACATTGAGTCTAGAATGCAACAGGTCAGGAAAAAACACCAATGGCCGACAATGTAGGTAAACTGGTTTACTTCTCTGTACACAATAATCGGCTGCTGTTTTTAATTTTACTTTGGTAAGTGTTCGAATGAATAGTTGATTTTAATATACGCTTGTTGATGGTATGTGATTAGAATGAGCCAAATGTAGATGCAACTTGAATGAGCCATAATGAGCTGCATCTAGAATGAGCCACATGTAGCTATAACTAGAATGAGCCACATGTAGCTGCTGATACCAGAATGAGCCACATGGAGCCAGCATATACCCCCAGCAGCAGTAAAAGAGGACCGCAAGCTGATCAAGTCGCCTAATCAAAAGCTAATAACTAACGCGATTGCCCGCCACTGGAGCTGGGAGAGAAGAGATCAGGGATCGATTTAGGAAGATTTTCTTCAGGCTGGGTTGTGGGTTGAGTTAGTCAATTCTAGTCGATTCAAGGGTGTGGCGTTGTGGGTTGATTTAGTCAATTCTAGTCGATTCAAGGGTGTGGCGTTGTGGGTTGAGTTAGTCAATTCTAGTCGATTCAAGGGTGTGGCGTTGTGAGTTGAGTTAGTCAATTCTAGTCGATTCAAGGGTGTGGCGTTGTGGGTTGAGTTAGTCAATTGTAGTCGATTCAAGGGTGTGGCGTTGTGGGTTGATTTAGTCAATTCTAGTCGATTCAAGGGTGTGGCGTTGTGGGTTGAGTTAGTCAATTCTAGTCGATTCAAGGGTGTGGCGTTGTGAGTTGAGTTAGTCAATTCTAGTCGATTCAAGGGTGTGGCGTTGTGGGTTGAGTTAGTCAATTCTAGTCGATTCAAGGGTGTGGCGTTGTGGGTTGAGTTAGTCAATTCTAGTCGATTCAAGGGTGTGGCGTTGTGGGTTGCGTTAGTCAATTCTAGTCGATTCAAGGGTGTGGCGTTGTGGGTTGAGTTAGTCAATTCTAGTCGATTCAAGGGTGTGGCGTTGTGGGTTGAGTTAGTCAATTCTAGTCGATTCAAGGGTGTGGCGTTGTGGCTTGAGTTAGTCAATTCTAGTCGATTCAAGGGTGTGGCGTTGTGGGTTGAGTTAGTCAATTCTAGTCGATTCAAGGGTGTGGCGTTGTGGGTTGAGTTAGTCAATTCTAGTTGATTCAAGGGTGTGGCGTTGTGGGTTGAGTTAGTCAATTCTAGTTGATTCAAGGGTGTGGCGTTGTGGGTTGAGTTAGTCAATTCTAGTCGATTCAAGGGTGTGGCGTTGTGGGTTGAGTTAGTCAATTCTAGTCGATTCAAGGGTGTGGCGTTGTGGGTTGCGTTAGTCAATTCTAGTCGATTCAAGGGTGTGGCGGAGTCTAACGGCTGTTTTATTTAAACATCTATTCGCAGTGCGGCCCGAGTTAGTCAATTCTAGCCCGGTCAAGGGTATGGTGGAGTAGGGGCTGAAAGTCATGGACGATGGAGTCTAGTGGCTGGGAGTCAAGGACTTGGTGGAGTCTAGTGACTGGGAGTCAAGGACTTGGTGGAGTCTAGTGGCTGGGAGTCAAGGGTTTGGTGGAGTCTAGTGGTTGAGTCAATGGCTTGGTGGAGTCTAGTGGCTGGGAGTCAAGGGTTTGGTGGAGTCTAGTGGTTGAGTCAATGGCTTGGTGGAGTCTAGTGGGTGGGAGTCAAGAACTTGGTGGAGTCTAGTGGCTGGGAGTCAAGGACTTGGTGGAGTCTAGTGGCTGGGAGTCAAGGGTTTGGTGGAGTCTAGTGGTTGAGTCAATGGCTTGGTGGAGTCTAGTGGCTGGGAGTCAAGGGTTTGGTGGAGTCTAGTGGTTGAGTCAATGGCTTGGTGGAGTCTAGTGGCTGGGAGTCAAGGACTTGGTGGAGTCTAGTGGCTGGGAGTCAAGGACTTGGTGGAGTCTAGTGGCTGGGAGTCAAGGACCTGGTGGAGTCTAGTGGCTGGGAGTCAAGGGTTTGGTGGAGTCTAGTGGCTGGGAGTCAAGGGTTGGTGGAGTCTAGTGACTGGGAGTCAAGGGTTTGGTGGAGTCTAGTGGCTGGGAGTCAAGGGTTGGTGGAGTCTAGTGGCTGGGAGTCAAGGACGGTGGAGTCTAGTGGCTGGGAGTCAAGGGTTGGTGGAGTCTAGTGACTGGGAGTCAAGGGTTTGGTGGAGTCTAGTGGCTGGGAGTCAAGGGTTTGGTGGAGTCTAGTGGCTGGGAGTCAAGGGTTGGTGGAGTCTAGTGACTGGGAGTCAAGGGTTTGGTGGAGTCTAGTGGCTGGGAGTCAAGGGTTGGTGGAGTCTAGTGACTGGGAGTCAAGGGTTTGGTGGAGTCTAGTGGCTGGGAGTCAAGGACGGTGGAGTCTAGTGGCTGGGAGTCAAGGGTTGGTGGAGTCTAGTGACTGGGAGTCAAGGGTTTGGTGGAGTCTAGTGGCTGGGAGTCAAGGGTTGGTGGAGTCTAGCGGCTGGGAGTCAAGGACTTGGTGGAGTCTAGTGACTGGGAGTCAAGGGTTTGGTGGAGTCTAGTGGCTGGGAGTCAAGGACGGTGGAGTCTAGTGGCTGGGAGTCAAGGACGGTGGAGTCTAGTGGCTGGGAGTCAAGGACTTGGTGGAGTCCAGTGACTGGGAGGACGGTGGAGTCTAGTGGCTGGGAGTCAAGGGTTTGGTGGAGTCTAGTGGGTGGGAGTCAAGGACGGTGGAGTCTAGTGGCTGGAGTCAAGGACGGTGGAGTCTAGTGGCTGGAGTCAAGGACGGTGGAGTCTAGTGGCTGGGAGTCAAGGACGGTGGAGTCTAGTGGCTGGAGTCAAGGACGGTGGAGTCTAGTGGCTGGGAGTCAAGGACTTGGTGGAGTCTAGCGGTTGGGAGTCAAGGACGGTGGAGTCTAGTGGCTGGGAGTCAAGGACTTGGTGGAGTCTAGTGGCTGGGAGTCAAGGACTTGGTGGAGTCTAGTGGCTAGGAGTCAAGGACTTGGTGGAGTCTAGTGGCTGGGAGTCAAGGACTTGGTGGAGTCTAGTGGCTGGGAGTCAAGGGTTGGTGGAGTCTAGTGACTGGGAGTCAAGGGTTTGGTGGAGTCTAGTGGCTGGGAGTCAAGGGTTGGTGGAGTCTAGTGGCTGGGAGTCAAGGACTTGGTGGAGTCTAGTGGCTGGGAGTCAAGGACTTGGTGGAGTCTAGTGGCTGGGAGTCAAGGACTTGGTGGAGTCTAGTGACTGGGAGGACGGTGGAGTCTAGTGGCTGGGAGTCAAGGGTTTGGTGGAGTCTAGTGGGTGGGAGTCAAGGACGGTGGAGTCTAGTGGCTGGAGTCAAGGACGGTGGAGTCTAGTGGCTGGAGTCAAGGACGGTGGAGTCTAGTGGCTGGGAGTCAAGGACGGTGGAGTCTAGTGGCTGGAGTCAAGGACGGTGGAGTCTAGTGGCTGGGAGTCAAGGACTTGGTGGAGTCTAGCGGTTGGGAGTCAAGGACGGTGGAGTCTAGTGGCTGGGAGTCAAGGACTTGGTGGAGTCTAGTGGCTGGGAGTCAAGGACTTGGTGGAGTCTAGTGGCTAGGAGTCAAGGACTTGGTGGAGTCTAGTGGCTGGGAGTCAAGGACTTGGTGGAGTCTAGTGGCTGGGAGTCAAGGGTTGGTGGAGTCTAGTGACTGGGAGTCAAGGGTTTGGTGGAGTCTAGTGGCTGGGAGTCAAGGGTTGGTGGAGTCTAGTGGCTGGGAGTCAAGGACTTGGTGGAGTCTAGTGGCTGGGAGTCAAGGACTTGGTGGAGTCTAGTGGCTGGGAGTCAAGGACGGTGGAGTCTAGTGGCTGGGAGTCAAGGACGGTGGAGTCTAGTGGCTGGGAGTCAAGGACGGTGGAGTCTAGTGGCTGGGAGTCAAGGACGGTGGAGTCTAGTGGCTGGGAGTCTGGTGGAATCTAGTCTGATATTTCATCTGGAGAGGGTATATTCAATCTGTAACGAATACACACTTTGTTTTGTAGGAAATGTGTATTTATAAATTTTTAAAAGAAAGGAATTTTTTATTTATTTTTTATTTTTGTTTTTAATTAACGTGAACGATTTCAACTTTTTGTTAGGCTTTATACACTTTCTAATTTAAAATAAAATAAAGTAGTAAAAAGAAAAATATTTTCCTTACAGCAAATGAAAGAATTTCCTCGTCTGGAATTCTCTCCCATTGAGCTAAAAATTCATTTATTTACAACGTGGCCCCACCCCTCCCCTAATCTCCCCGTCCCTACCTCACCCACCCGTATCGTCAAACCAAATACAATTAACCTGATTTCTTGATCCGATGCCAACTCGTTTTCAGGCGTTTGCTACAAGAACAGACGGGGGAACAATGTTTGTTACACGGGAACATGGAGGGAACTCGTTTTTTACACGGGAACATGGGGAGAACAATAACTTTTTTACACTGGAACATAGACATAAAAACACATCATGATGTATCATCTAGCCTGGTCTACACATCATGATGTTGATTAGTCGTGTCTACACATCGTTGTGTAACATTTAGACGTCTACACATCATTGTGTAACATTTAGTCGTCTACACATCATTATGTAACATCTAGCCTTGTCTACACATCATGATGTAACATCTAGCCTTGTCTACACATCATGATGTAACATCTAGGCTTGTCTACACATCAAGATGTAACATATAGCACTACACATCATGATGTAACATCTAGGCTTGTCTACACATCAAGATGTAACATATAGCACTACACATCATTATGTAACATCTATCCTTGTCTACACATCAAGATGTAACATATAGCACTACACATCATGATGTAACATCTATCCTTGTCTACACATCAAGATGTAACATATAGCACTACACATCATTATGTAACATCTAGACGTCTACACATCATTATGTAACATCTAGACGTCTACACATCATTATGTAACATGTTTGTGCATCACAGCGACGACAGCTGCTCTACCCACTTGACAAACTACAACAACAACAGCATACACATCATGTGATAACAGCAAACCCATCATATGATAACAATCTGTGTATTTTGTGATTAGGTCAGCACAATCATTCGTCGTGTTAAACGCTAATATAGTGGCAATGTCCTAATGAACTCTGTTTAATTAATGCTTTCTAATTACGAACCATGGTGTAATTGTATTTTAAAAAGTCAATGTTAATCTTCTGCTAAAAATGCATTGTTAAAACACATCGCAAAACAAAATGTTTGTATTATATAAAATTAACGTGCTTAATGATAGTTAAAAATCATGACATATGCTCAAAATCCTATGATTTAAAAATTGTGTTACTTACTATTCCACGATTTCACTTCTTTAAAAAATCATTTTCAGACACTTTTTTAAAAAACAGTTACTAATAATTTTTAAATTTCGTGTTCCGCGCCATTTTAAAAAAATGCCATATAACTTTTTAAAAAATCCTATTTAAACTGTGTTTTATTTTAAAAATTATGTTCCCTAGCATATAATAGAAACCTTACGACAAAACTATTACCTGTCATAGTTTGTTTTAAGTCTGCCACCACGCGCCACTAAGTTGATTGGCAGCGCGCGCTAGCCAGATGATCGCTGTTTGAATTCAGTTCATAGAAAAATGGAAATCAATAACATGAGCAGGCATTCTAATGTGTCCCGCCATGCTAACTACGGCAATGCTAACTACGGCCATGTTAACTACGGCCATGCTAACTACGGCCATGCTAACTATGGCCATATTAACTACGGCCATGCTAACTACGGCCATGCTAACTACGGCCATGCTAACTACGGCCATGCTAACTACGGCCATGATAACTACGGCCATGTTAACTACGGCCATGATAACTACGGCCATGCTAACTACGGCCATGCTAACTACGGCCATGCTAACTACGGCCATGCTAACTACGGCCATGCTAAATACGGCCATGCTAACTACGGCTATGCTAACTACGGCCATGCTAACTACGGCCATGCTAACTACGGCCATGCTAACTACGGCAATGCTAACTACGGCTGAGGCGAAAATTTAACATTAGTAAACTGACCATAAACATGTAGAGGTTGCAGTTTAATGCTTGGATATTAAGAATGCCGTAAAACTATGTGTGTATTTGTTGGGTGCTGACTTTGTGAGATTGTTGGGTGCTGACTATGGAAGTTTATTGGGTGCTGACTATGGGAGTTTGTTGGGTGCTGACTATGGAAGTTTATTGGGTGCTGACTATGGGAGTTTGTTGGGTGCTGACTATGGGAGTTTGTTGGGTGCTGAGTATGTGAGTTTGTTGGGTGCTGACTATGGAAGTTTATTGGGTGCTGACTATGGGAGTTTGTTGGGTGCTGACTATGGGAGTTTGTTGGGTGCTGACTATGTGAATTTGTTGGGTGCTGACTATGTAAGTTTGTTGGGTGCTATGTGAGTTTGTTGGGTGCTGACTATGGGAGTTTGTTGGGTGCTGACTATGGGAGTTTGTTGGGTGCTGACTATGTGAATTTGTTGGGTGCTGACTATGTAAGTTTGTTGGGTGCTATGTGAGTTTGTTGGGTGCTGACTATGGGAGTTTGTTGGGTGCTGACTATTGAAGTTTGTTGGGTGCTGAGTATGGAAGTTTGTTGGGTGCTGAATATGGAAGTTTGTTGGGTGCTGACTATGGAAGTTTGTTGGGTGCTGACTATGGACGTTTGTTGGGTGCTATATGAGCTTGTTGGGTGCTATGGGAGTTTGTTGGGTGCTGACTATGGAAGTTTGTTGGGTGCTGACTATGGAAGTTTGTTGGGTGCTGACTATGGAAGTTTGTTGGGTGCTGACTATGGCAGTTTGTTGGGTGCTGACACTGGGAGTTTGTTGGGTGCTGAGTATGTGAGTTTGTTGGGTGCTGACTATGGAAGTTTGTTGGGTGCTGAGTATGTGAGTTTGTTGGGTGCTGACTATAGGAGTTTGTTGGGTGCTGAGTATGTGAGTTTGTTGGGTGCTGACTATGGAAGTTTGTTGGGTGCTGAGTATGTGAGTTTGTTGGGTGCTGACTATAGGAGTTTGTTGGGTGCTGAGTATGGAAGTTTGTTGGGTGCTGAGTATGTGAGTTTGTTGGGTGCTGACTATAGGAGTTTGTTGGGTGCTGACTATGGAAGTTTGTTGGGTGCTGACTTTGGAAGTTTGTTGGGTGCTGAGTATGTGAGTTTGTTGGGTGCTGAGTATGTGAGTTTGTTGGGTGCTGACTATGGAAGTTTGTTGGGTGCTGACTATGGAAGTTTGTTGGGTGCTGACACTGGGAGTTTGTTGGGTGCTGAGTATAGGAGTTTGTTGGGTGCTGACTATGCGAGTCTGTTGGGTGCTTCTTCTTCTTCGTTCTTAATTATTAGTGTTGAAGGGGATCGAGATTTATCTGCCAGTGGGTTTGAACTCGAGACTGTTCGAATGTATCAACCATGAGCTTTTTGCCGACTCGACCACGCCTCCATCATAATTAAGGATTACGTGTCAACTGGTTTTGCGCCATTGAGGCCATTGACTCCGATTTCAGCCTGCTTTTCTTTTTGGATTTGCTTCCATAGCCGTTATCCAACCAAGAACAAACTACAAGGCAGCAGTTGATAGTCAACATGTCAGATGTCATTTCCTTACCATGTGTTGACATGATACATCTTGCATGAAGGTTGAATGGCCCAATGTTTTGGCGGGCTGGCGACGAGAGAAGTAAATCCCCCCCCCCCCCAGTACCGAAGAGTGGCGGAAGAGATTGTTAGGTGTGACAAGACACCTCGCCCGATCCGCCAATCGCAGACATGAATTATACACCAGCAGACGACAGGAGTTGTGAAGTCTGTGTTGGCGTCTGCTGAAGACTTCCGGTACTCGCAGACATGAATATTGCACGCGGTCCCGCCCGTGGACGGGGGTTACTTTCACACTCGATGCTACCGTGGTGACTGACATTCAAATGTCAAAAGTTTAAAAGTGGTTCCCTATCATTCAAAGGTTCATATGTTCTTCAACGTTCGAGTGGTATGAATCCCTGTTATTCAAATGTACTGTGGTTCCCTGTCATTCAAATGTACTGTGGTTCCCTGCGATTCAAATAAACTCGGTTCCCTGTGACATTCATTAGTCCTGATGTTACTAACAGTTATACGATCGTCCCCTTTGTTATTCAAAGATGACGCCATCCCCTTTGTTATTCAAAAATGACGCCGTTCCCTTTTTTATTCCAAGATGACGCCATACCCTTTGTTATTCAAAGATGCGGATATCTCCTTTGTTATTCAAAGATGAATGTATCCCCTGCCATGTAACACTCAAACGTAAGTTTTTATATTGATTTTATTCAATGATTCGTCATTCAAAGATGGATTGATCTCTCTACTTTCTCATTTTTCTCTCACCTTCTCTGTCTATTACTGTCCTCTCTGTATCTTTATCTTTATCTCTTCTTCTCTTTCTCTCTCTCTTTCTCTCTCTCTCTCTCTCTCTCTCTCTCTCTCTCTCTCTCTCTTCAAATTTTTTTTTGTTATGCCGAAAAAAAATGCCGAGAAATCTGACTTGGGCAGAAACATTAAATGTAGAGAACACCTTGCCCTAAAGTTCCATCAAGAAATGAGATTTCAGTCAGTACATCAAGCTGTCAAAAAGTGTATTGCAAGAGACAAACTCTCAGACACTTGTGTGATAAACCAACTTTTTGGTGAAACTTTTATTTTCTTATGCTCCATACATGAAGTATGGGTTTCTTATGCTCCATACATGAAGTATGGGTTTCTTATGCTCCATACATGAAGTATGGGTGCGTTTTGTGGAGCCTTGAATTAAAGACATCAAGACGATTTAGTTTAAACATATCACCCCGCCGCCACAATAAAAAGGTTCTAAGTGAAAAAGCGTTATTTATTTTATATAGTCGGATAAAACCGTATTATCTAGAATGACTTTAAAAATCTGGGGGGAAATATTATTTCAAGTTAGTGTCGAACCATTTTTCCAGTTAAAGTTAGTAGCTTAATAATTCGACAAAGTTATTGAATCAGAAAATTAATACAAATGGGTGTAAAATTCCCATCTTGAACAAAATCTCTTACCGACTATGGTCCTTACACCAACAATTCTTTGAAAAACCATATTGGAAATGCGAATATTAAGTTTAAAATATTCAGAGAATTATATTGAAAGGTCTTCGGCTAAAACTATTTTCGACAGATCTTTAAATCACGATTCAGCATTAAGCTGTTATCCTATAAGTCTCAACTAACGAAAGATCTCTAGATCACAACTCAACATTTACCTATTGTTCTGAAAGTGTAAGTCTCAACTCACGAAAGATCTCTAGATCACAACTCAACATTTACCTATTGTTCTGTAAGTGTAAATCTCAACTTAAGAAAGATCTTTAGATCACAACTCAACATTTATCTATTGTTCTGTAAGTGTAAGTCTCAGTCCACGAAAGATCTCTAGATCACAACTCAACATTTATCTATTGTTCTGTAAGTGTAAGTCTCAGTCCACGAAAGATCTCTAGATCACAACTCAACATTTATCTATTGTTCTGTAAGTGTAAGTCTCAGTCCGAGAAAGATCTCTAGATCACAACTCAACATTTATCTATTGTTCTGTCTCAGTCCACGACACGGAATCCTTCAAATAATGAGCGAAAACGCCAATACAAGAAGACACGCATGGGTTTAGTGCCAACATTTTGTGGTCCAAAAGATGGATGGACCGTGGGTTGGTGTCTTGCTCTTCTTATCAAGCACTAAAGGAGTTTCATGACTGGCCATTAGACGTTTCTCTCAGGGGAGATTACTCGGGTTTGCCGGTGTTCTTTAATAGAACAGATTCTAAAACAGGGGAAAGTAAGATTCGTTTGGCTTATCTGAAGATTTCAGGTGTACACTAGATTCAAAGGGCTTAAGGGAGATTCGGATTTATTATGTGTGTGGGGTGTGTGAGGAGTGTGGGGTGGGGGATTTGTTAGGATTAGGTGAGGTTTTGATATACAGAGTGTGGTGTTGGAGGAATTCAATGAGATTAGGTGATGTTCGTGGTTGATGGACAAAGTGTGTGTTGATGTGGGTTGGTGAGATGGTTTTATTTACACCAGCAACTTGTTATGTGGCAGAGATACACACTTTTGACATCCGCCTTCTGGCTGGTAAATTATACTGGTGTTATATGTACAGAAACCATACATCTACGAGTAGTGTTATATGTACAGACACCACACAGCCACCATAGAAGTTACGTGTTATATGCACCGATACCATGATCCACACATATACGTGTGGTGTCGCATGTTTTGACACCACACAACCACACACCTACGAGTAGTTTTATATATACAGACACCATACATCTTCGTGTAGTGTTATATGTACATAAACCATACATCTACGAGTGGTGTTATATGTACAGAAAACATACATCTACGAGTGGTGTTATATGTACAGACACCACACATCTACGAGTGGTGTTATATGTACAGACACCACACATCTACGAGTGGTGTTATATGTACAGAAACCATACATCTACGAGTGGTGTTATATGTACAGAAAACATACATCTACGATTGGTGTTATATGTACAGACACCATACATCTACGAGTGGTGTTATATGTACAGAAACCATACATCTACGAATGGTGTAATATGTACAGAAACCATACATCCACACATCTACGAGTGGTGTTATATGTACAGACACCATACATCTACGAGTGGTGTTATATGTTCAGAAACCATACATATACGAGTGGTGTTATATGTACAGACACCACGTAATGCCACAGCCACACGTGTGAGAAGAAATCGATCAATGTAATTATTGAACGGCTGACCGGCTGGCGTTGCTCAACCAATTCAACTTCTGATCAGCGCTAGGGAGGGGGGGGGGGAGGGAGGGGGGGGGGGGGGGTAAACCGTGGTCACGTGATGAGGAGAGAGGCGCTGGCCGGGGACATTGGCTGGAACAGACAAGAGGCTGGTCATGGCTGTAGTTGTAGAGGAGTCACTGGTGTTATAGTGGAGTC